ATGTTACAATCTGAAGTCTATTCTAAGAAAAGAAAAAAAGGTAATTTAGATTCATTTTGAATTTTTTTTGGTGGTTATGAGGTTGGTCAAACTGACTGATTCCGTTTTGAGATAGGGTAGAGAAAATAACAGAAAACTAGAAAAATTTTACTAAAAAAAGTTTGAAAAACATTTAGGAGGTTTTAGGAATTACATAAAGGAAATTTGAGATTTTTGAGATGAGGAAAAGTATTTTTAATTTTAACATGAAAATTACTTTGCACACGGAATATTCAAAACAAATACTCAATATATTCATGGACAAATCTTTATTTTATTTTATTAAAAGTACTTTCCTAAAATATATGATATTTTGTATGTGAAAGACTTAAAGATATACGCACTATATTGAAAGTTAGAAGTATTAAATCTATAAAGACTTTAAACAAGTACACAAAGGTCATGTGGTCAGTCAAATTGACTGAGCCTATGTTGAGAGAGTTAAGGCGGCCTTGTTGACTACTGTTCGTTTATTGCAATTACATATTTTTTGAGTCTCCAGTACTTTTCAGATTCGTCAAGTCACTTTGGGTCCACAGGTGTATTAAGGTTACAGCTCTTTCTCAATGCCTGTATGTGACCTGACTGTTATATGCCCTTTACCTGAAGATTTATTTTTTGTGGCTGCTGTTCTACAGACATACCCGATCAGAGTGATTTGTGCTGTTTGTCCACAGACTGCATTCTTATTCTCTCTCAGACCATTTCTTCTTACTCAAGACACTATCCAACAGGAAAGGGGTTAAATCCTTTTCACCGATTAATCTGATCACTATGCCTCACTCCTATGTCCAATCAAATTTCAATTATGTGGTTCTTGAAGGTTTAGTTGTCTGCACTAATACCTTTAAAGATGCTAGGCAAAGGATTTTTATTCTGGGCTGTCTTTGAAGAAGAGGAATCTTCTGTGAGTCATGTCTATTCAGATTTGTTACATATCTATGCCCTTAGCAACCTGGTTGAATTGCATGCTGGAGATCATTGTGCAGACTACTATGTGGACCTCCCCCAAATACTTTTATCTCACATTATTTGCATGATCTGGCAGTCTCTTCATCTGAAGGTATTTGTCTACCCCCCTGTAGCTATCTTAACCATTTCTGCTAAATTATATAGAGGGGTGTGTATTTTCATTGCTACCTTTCAGGGTCCCTTACCTTATTTTCACTGGATCCCACTCTGTGGCAAGTGCTGTCCAGGCAGTTGTGCTCTTATCAAAACAATTTCACACCAGCAACCACTATTTCAATATACTTTATACAGGTTGCAACAGGCTCTGTAAAATAAGGTGTTCCATAAGACCATCTAGGAGCTCACCAGGTGGTATTACTGTACTATGCTGGACCGCCATTCATGGACTATCATGAGTAAAGCATGAGGGGATCTTGCTTATCCTTGCCGAACCTCAAATTGAATAAATCAGGGTTGGTTTGCTTTTAAAAAATTTAGGGAACTTGGTTCACCTATTGCATTATTTCCAGGACACTGTTCCTCATGGGTCTTCAATGCACATCCCCCCCCAGATTCTACTAGTTTCCAGTTGTTGGGGTGGTGGACAGAGACTTTTCCTCCAGAGTGTTAGAGTGAATGGAGAAGGGGGCAAAGTTGGGGGGGGCATCCTACCTGGATCCCTGGATGTTTTTCTCAGATGTCGGTAGGAGTGGCACCAACCTAAGTTGGAGCCTACTTTGAATACTGGTAGATATGATGTTCCACTATCCGGTTGGGGTTGCATGGCCCTTCTGTTTGATCAATATAGATTCAGTACATTGTTTGTGGAAGAGGATCCACTCTCTCCTCATACTTCTGAATGAGGAGTGGTCCCATCTTGGGTCCTTAGTGGAGCACAGTTGTTCTATGTCCACCCTATAATTCAAAGTGCAAATGGAATGTACCTCACACAGTTGGGGAGTGAAGTTGAATGTTCATAATTCAAGACTGGGTGAGTTCTGTTTCTTTTGGTTGAGTAAACCATACATGATCCCATCATTCCAAGCCTGGAGTGTTGCCTTTCTGTCTTCTTCAGGTGGAGGAGAAGGTTTGTCCATTTGGTGTTGCTTACTTTCTCGTTGTTATTCTGGTGGCTCGGAATGCATCACTCTATGGCTACAAAATTTGGATCCACTCATAAGTGTATATATATATAATGTTGTGGTCCAATTGCACCAGCCACCAATGTGGGATGTAAGGACCAAGATCCTAATTCCAACCCCAAGAGTAGTGGAACCTCAGCTATCTGTTTGGGGCTGGCCTATAGTGATAATCATTCATGTACAATTTCACCCACAATACAGGAATTAAGTTAGGGTGAAGAGCATACCTGATCTAGATGTAGTGGAGTCCCACCACTAGGGTACTAATCTTCTACTGACACTCATGATCTAAGCAGATGATTTCTTTATGGATAATGCCCTCACTGGCCTCTACACCTTCTCAGTGTGGGATTCTAGCTATAAGTAGGAGTAGAGGTATGCATGTATTGGAATTTAACATTTTCCTAAATTGAAAATGTATTTCCAATCATACTTACCTCCAATGACTCTCCCACCCTTCCTCCCCACTGAGAGCCAGTATTGAGATGCGGATAGAATCAGTCTCAAAAAAAAAGTGAATGATATAGATGGAGAGTATCTTTCTTGGTGTGGAATTGTTTCAATAATTATATGTTACAATGTCATAAAAGATAGTTTTACACTGTTAATGTTAGGAAAATGGGAAGAAATTTACAGCTGTCAGTGTGGTCACATGGGCGATAATATAGTAAATCTATGAGTAAATTCTAGTCAATATTTGTTTTTTCAAATGATGGATATATATCTAGCTGTAGATTTAATATTAGCTGATGGACTTTCGATACTGTATTCTGCACATGCTCCGGTTTGTATGCATATGACTAATTATACATTAAGACTGGAAAAGCATTTCATTAATTGATATTGGAGATCTAGCATTTTTTTTATGTTGCATATTGATATCTCCAATGAAATTTCATAAAAAAAGTGTTATAAACATGAAAAATAAATAAAAAGAACAGCTAACTATTTGTCCATTGACCTTGTTTTTGTTAAATAATAGCTGAAAGTGAAATTTCTTAAAGATTTTCTGTTTTAGCAGATCTACAGGTGTTTATAAAACCTGAATGTTTGTTGACAATTCTATATTGCACTTAAAACATTAATGAAATCCAGGGCTTACCCTGCATGGCTCTCATTTTTGAACAGCTGATTAGACACGACTATCATTGCTTTTATTGGTCTGTGAACAAGAGTGGGATGTTCCCCTGGCATGATGTTCCGGATATATCCGGAAGACTTTCATTATTAGAACATTAGAGGTCATTATTCATGTATGACTGTTAGGCTTATGACACTCATTCTATTGCATTCTAATAGGTTAGAAACATTATTAATTATTTCTGAAAAGTCCATTCTGAAAATGGAATTAGGGAAATTCTGGAACATCCATGTTCTTTATGTTATCAACAATTTTATGATAATGGGTCTCTGCCAGATCAGTCCTGAGCTTATTTCATGGTGACACCTGTAATCTTGCAGATTAAGATATGTCACTCAAAGCCTGTTATTCATAATTGTAGTCAAGTTAAATTTTCTCACAGTAGATTTTTCTTTTCAGAACATAGAACAATTGGGATGTGGGAGCACTGGAGTTAGATTTATAAGGAACTTCAAAGATCTTCTGATAAAAAAACCATTGATTTTTGAGTAATGAAAATTGTTTTTCACAAAATTCCATAACCTCTATAAACCATGTCAAAATGAAAGAAAAAAAAAAGTTGAAGTGGTTTTATTATTTAACTAAGCTTGTTACAACATAAAAGATTTTTAATTCTTTTAAATTTTTCTACTTGTAATAGGATGGTCAACAGTATTTTAGCAGAGGAGATGAAAAGCATTCATGCTTTTACACAGAAAACCCTGACTCCTGAACAGTGGAAGAAGCAAAAGCCACAATCTTGAATTTTTCTGAATTAGAAGAATCATACAGACTCTTAGAATGTAATACTAATAATCTTTCATTAGAAGCTTGCTACATGTAGGTTTGTTGTCAATAATTATTAAGCAAAAAGACATAACTTGAAACTATCACATTCAATTTGATGTTTAACAATAAAACTTTATTGTACATATATTCATGGCGTTGAGGTTAAAAATATGAGATTGTGTTTAGGAAATAAAGTTAAGCAGTTTCATCTGTCCTTGTGTAATAAAAGAACAAGTAACATTTTAGGAAGTAGTATCAGAAGATGATTTATACAGATGAAAGACTGACAGAACTAGGTTGGGTGTGGCTTAGTAGTTAGTGCCAGATTGTGGATCTAAAGGTCCATGGTATGTACTTTGGTGTTGTGTGTGTGACATAACCAGTACATATGTACTTAGAATATTCAACATACAGTCTGATATTATTCAGTTGATAAGGAAAAACAATATTTTATTAATGCTATTACATAGTTACCATAGAGCAAACACTACACCTTCATAAGTTTCTACTGAAGTTATTCACAAATAATATTAATATTTTCAAATATCAACATCACTTTTTTTTATTGATTGTAGTGTCCAAAACTTCGCTAAAAATATGTTAACAATAACTCAGTGTTTAGAAAATAATGTTCATCAATTTTGTAATTTTAAATAGCTAATCATAAAAATTTCTTAAACATTTTTCCATTACATATATTCAAATAAAACCTGAACAATCTTAAAAACTAACCTATGTCTCTTGTAGTCCACCTCTCTAACAATTTCCAATTTCTTATGTACAGGAAAAAGACACAAGAGCAAAACTTATTGTTGATTTGAGATGCTCCCTAACTTTGACTTTTGCAAAATCAAAAGAAAGGAACAAATCTTAAATCTATCTACTTTAGTGTCATGGGATATTTTTCTGCCAATTCTAATTTAAATTGATAGAAATATAAGAGGACTGCAAGACAAAAAAAAAAAGACTTCAGTTGATAAAAATAAGGATGTCTGGGCCTGTTGGACCAAGGTATATGCTCATCAAGATGATAGTTCCAGAAATTGTACCTGTTGAAAATAAGAAAGAAAATGGAGGAGGGGGGGTAATTACAATATGTCTATTTCTCTGAGGAAGGTATAAAAGGCAAAACCAACAAGGTCAGCTGTCACTGATGGAAACTGAAAGTTCCTAACATAGTAACTAATGTAATAGAAGGTGGAATACCATAGGAGTGTAACTGGTATAATAAAAAGCAGAATCTAGCAGGCTACTAGTATCAATGGAAACCAAAATATCGCAGCACAGTAACTAGTGTAATAACAGGTGAAGGGGTATTATTGCACTAACTAATGTAATAAAGAGTAGAGGGTCTTATTACATTAAATAGTATAACAGATGGAAGACCCTTGCATAAAACTTATTAAAAAGTGAAGGACCCTAGCATGGTAACTTCATTAAGTTAAAAAACAGAGGACCTTAGCTTAGTAAACAACCTAGTGAATCCTCCTCCTTTACTGGAAATGTTTTATTAAAATATTTTTCCTTTTTTTAGAGAAAATCTATCAAGTTGAAAAATTGGAATTAACTTTTAAAAGTTTTTTCATCCTAACAAATTTTAAAATAAAATTACCTTGTTCAGAAGAACATTATATACATATTTATTAATATTTACAAAAAACTACCATAAAAAGGCTATTGTTGGGATAACATTCAGAATTTTTTTTAAACATTTCTGATTTATCATTCTCTTTATTTATTCATTAGCTTTGTCGTTTTAAAGTACACTTCACAATCCTTTCAATGGTACAATATTTTTCTTTATCCTTTAAGACTATAAAACAATATTCAACCTCACTAAAACCCTTTTACTCGTCGGATTTATAAAAATAAAAAATAATGTTTTTACAGTTGATGTATTCCAGCTTTATTATTATTTGTATTGTGACAAATACCTTATGGTAAAATCAGACTCCTACAGTTCAGGTATATCCCTAGTTGAGAAGAGGAATGACAATTTCAGCTGCACCCAACACCTATGTGGTTCATCCCAAAGAATAATTGCCACACTCATAATGCTTCCACAGATGAATGTGCAATGTGTGTCCAACAACTTATCATGGCTCAAGCTCAGGACCTTCCAATCTGTAGACCATCAAACTAACCACTAAGCCCTGCCTGACACACCTCACAAGCTAATTAAGAGAGATATGGTGAAGTCACATTGAAGATTCACTTTCTTTGCATTACATAGAATATTTCTTATGTGTGTGTTTTTCTGTTTTACATTATTTTTAACATTTTTCACCAATGAGAGATTCTATGTACATACAAATTTAATCCATGATGCACTTCAAAGTGGTATCCTAGGCTTTCCTATGGGAAAATCTCTCCTTTTAGTTTATATAATAACAATATACCTTGAAACGACAGCTGAAGTTAAAATGTACAAACAAACCCTTATTTATGTTTATCATACAATAGCAATGTATCCTAAACTAATATACACAAGTAAATAGAGTTTCCTATTTGGAAATAAGAACATTTGTTATAGTTATGTACAGCAAAGGTTTTTCATGCAAGATAAATCTATTGGGTAATTGTGATTCCATCCTTTAGTTATCACTTCCTCTATATTTATCCATCTTGCACACGAATCATATAAAAATAGTAACATGTTATCCTACTATGACTTAAATGCATCTTAACATCTTAGCACATTAAATTTCTGCACTTCTAAAGTACAAACACCTATGTGAAAGTGTTTGTCCCCTCTCTCTACCATTATAAAGGTATAAAGACATAGTTTATTGATGGTTTTAACAAAGTAGTTTAACCTTTGACTGTCAGTGAGATGCAACATATTATTTATCAATGAAACAAAATCGTAACATAATGCACTGCATATTTGTAAATAAACAACTTCTGTTGCTACGATTATAAATATTACTATGAAACACATTTAAATAATACCTTACAGACAAGAAAAACAATTATTTCCACAATAGTTCTTACAACTTTAAATATTTATAATTTTAGTAACTTAAGTATATATATATATAACAATATAATGGAAACTATTTTGGAAGTTAATACTGAGTACTTTCAAGCAGATTATCACTTTAAAAAGAATATATACATATAATGCCTTTTGATTACTTAAAAAAATAAAGTATAATTTGCTTACAAATATATTTTACAAGCAGTAGCTATTATGTTTTCGTATAACTAAGATGTAAACTGCATAAAAAAACATGATTTTAAATTAACACCTTGTATTTTTAGTATTAAATATTGATCTTTAAATAACAATCACCCCATTTTACAATTTTTCTACACAAATTGCCTGAAATAATAAAATACAAAGAATACTAGATTTATATCATATGCCACTTTCACTGGTCAATACAAAATAAAATCTAATGTGATTCATAAAAGCCCAGAATATTTATTCGTTTTGTCACTTTGAAGTAGCAAGAAAAATTATGTTTCCGTACTGCCTTTTGAGACATCGAAAATTTTCAGGATCGGCTTCTAACTCAATCTTCTATATAACTTGATCAGATTTAAATGTTGTGAGTAATATAAATGAAACTTTATAATGAAAAAAAGAAAGTAATGTATTTTCTAAACTATATATGTTTAGTGCATTCTTATTAAGTTTGGTGTGTCTATAGAAAGTAGTTGTTTCTAAAAATAACAACAAAACCTATGATACTAGAAAGAAGCTGAGATATTCCACAATAAAAAAAAAGCTGCACTAATTTTAAAACGGTATAGATTTACTGAAATAAGTACAGAAGTTTGTGTGAAACTTCAATTTTTATTTTTGTTAGATGTCGAAAAAAAAGTCAAAATAAGTAGGCTGGTAAGCAAGGACTTTAAATTATATATAACCTGCTAATTAACCCTTTTGAGACGGGTCACAGGTGAAAAGCCATGTCATCGTGTTTGTTGACTCGCATTCAAAACTTTATTGAACTACTATTTTATGAATTTATGTCAATAAGTTTGGTATCAAACTGTGGATTATAATTCAAATTTTAATACTATATATTACTTAATTTAAAAGTAAATTTTAAAAAACACAGCTAAACATCGATTTTTGTGTGTAACATGGTATGTTGAATGCAGCACTGGTTCAAATTAGATGTTTGTGAAGTCAAAATAATAAGTCTATAGTTTTATACGAATTAGAAATTCAAATTACAGATATTGAAAAGCTAGAATATAAAATAAGAAAGTCTTATCTTTTCTATTTGCTAAGATATTGCTCACGTAGTAAATCCTACACAGTGGCACCCCACTCACCTCTTTCCATTTTAGGAAATGCTCCCTTATATACACTTACTTCGATATATGACATGAATAACCAATCGGAAGCTCAGAATGCCCCCTAGTAGTTTTCTCAGCTTTTCTAATGTTCATTTCACCATTTGAACCAAGATTTCATTGAGGTCGATTGTGTCTTTAGTCTGCTTCAAATTTCATATTTTTTTTAGACCCAAATAAAGCTTGATAAATTATAGTAGAATTTTATGGTATGAATGTAGTAATTTCTGATTTTTTAGTTATTCAAATGTGTATATATAAAACGTAAAAAAATATATTTTGTTTCATGTCCTTCACGTGCAAAATTTTTAAAGGCTTAGCAACGTACCTCAAGCAGCAACCGAGTCATAGGTCATAATTAGAAAATGTAATTATTTTCTAATAATTCTTTATTTACTGTTCTATGTTTTAAGAAAAATAAGTTTAAGAACTTATTTCAAAATGGCAATTATCTATATACATTAATAATGTATAATGATTGAAATGTGACTGTATTTTACAAAACACAGCTAAGACAAGTTACT